CTACTGATCTGTTTTAGATGAATTAACTACCAAAATATTTGTCTTAGTAAAAGAATCCTATCTAAAATCATTAAAATCCAATTACAAGATCTTAAAATTATTCAATTTTGTGTGATTTTATAAAATCTTATTAAAATTATATAATGTTTGAACAATTTTAAGATCTTGTAATTAGTTTTAACAATTTTGTTTTTGCTAAAATTCTTTTATTAAAATAAATATTTTGGTAATTAATTTATTTAAAATAGATTAATAAATCAAAAGTTATTAGCAATTATAAAAAATATATTTTTTTGATATTAAAGTAACTTATTGGTCACTTTTTTTTATTTGATTATTGTTTTTTTTTTTAATTAATTAGCCTCTTTAGTGTAGGGATTTTTATTTAAATATACTGGGTAGGAAGCTCACAACGGAACCTCAATTATATTAGAAAATATAACTAGCTATATATACAACTTTTAGTTACCTATTTAAGTAATCCATGTATAGATAACTATATACTATAGGTTCTATATTAGCTGTTATATCTGTAATCTGACTAGGGATTATCTATTTAAACTTTTTGTAATATAAACATCTCTTTTGTATTACCCAAAACATCTCTATTATATTTGTCAGTCAAGAGTTCCAGATGCTTACTATAGCTTTAGGATTAATTTATCCTTGAGACATTGTTGTTAAAGCTTTTCATACACACAATCTGGCTAATCTAGACTTTTTATAACTTATGCCAAGTCTATGAATGAGTATTTGCAAGCTAAAGCCATTACTGTTACTAACTTTTTTCTTGTAGAGTTTACTCAAACTTCAGCACCTACTTTACAGACTATCTATCATTTTTTCAGTTTGCCAAACTCCCAATCCAAATAGTATGAAAGGGCAGACCCTTCTTCTAAAATATATTGATGACCTAGTTGGTATAATGCCTTGTCGAACACTTTGGTTCTATTCAGTTCTTAGTTTTTTGATTAATAATCCTTTATATAATACATCAAAAGTCTGTATTATCTCTTTATTTGGAACTTGCCAAGCTAGCTTCTGTATATTTTAGCCTTCAGATTTATCTAGCTGCTTTACTTGAGTTTTATATAACTTATATGTTATACTAAATATTTCACAGCCTTCTAATATAAAACTTCAAGTTATTTGTTCACTTCTGGTCTTGAATCTTCAACTTGCTTTTAGAGATTGGTTAGTACAAGTGATTATCAAAGAAAGTTGTATGATTTTATTTTATACTTTACTATTATAAATTGTTATTTATAATATATTTTTAGAGGGCTACTATTTCCACCATGGTATTTTGCTATTTTCACCATATTATACAAAAATTACTATTTTTACCACTTAATATACAGTAGTATATATTATATTGTATATAGTAATATAATAAAAATTAATTTTTTAAAATTTAAAGAAAATTTTAATAAGTAAATCTCTCTTAAGCTTCTAAGTAAAGTTTAGATAAGACTTTTTTGGTTTTAATAGTGCTTAGATCATCAAAATTGACTTTGTAGATCCCAAGATATTTGAGATTAAAGATATGAATATAAGGATCTTCAAACTGGTAGTTATATAAAATATTATAGTCTAAAAAACTCTTTTTCGTAAATCCCAATTTCATAGTAAAAATAAATTTGAAAAAATAAAAATAAAAATATAGTAAGATAGTTAATAATTATCCTGAAAGAAAAGATCAAAACTAGCAACATGCACAAAAGACCTTTAGAACTAGAGACAATAAACACAACAAAAATACTCAACAACTACACGAAACTAAAAACAACAAACCAGTCCCTTGAGGACCAGGTTTTGGCAAAACTACAAAAACAAAGCTTAGAAGAATATATACCAGTATATGCCTCCAGGCTTAACACTAGTATCTACACTATGAATAGACAGAATAATAGAATAGGGCAGCAACAAAATACAGACTCCCAACCAAAAAGGCGTCACTACAACAACCAAAAGTTCTTTACTCAACTCCCAACGGCACAAAAAAGTGGGCAATCTAGCTTACTCCTGTCAACTGACAACACAACATCACGTATACAACAAAACAATAAAACAATTACTAAAAAAGACAACAACAGTACAAACATGTCCAAAACAGGAATCAACAACACAATAAACAACCTAAACCAGAAGGTGCAAAATGTAATGCCACAAACAAAAAATATAGATATGCAGCAAGACAAAGAAAATATAGTAACCAACATAAATAATAATACAAATTCAGAACACAACAACAACACATATGATCCAACTACAAATACAGAACTAAAAACAAGACTAAGACCAAATAGTCAGCCACAGTTTACTTATAGCCAAGCAGTAAGACAAAATATAGACTTAGATT